ATTACAAGGTATTTTGGATCAAAATAGGTAATTATCAAATTAATTTGCAAGGTATTAAGTACTCCATATACTTCTTTTGCTTTATTTAATCATGCTACATTGAAAAATCTATAAGTTATGTTATTATATATCTTGAATTATTATTGAAAATTTGTTTTCAATTTTTTTTTTAGAATTTAAAGTACCAAATTTTAATTAATTTTACGGAAATGTTTATTAGTGTATTATTTTTTTAAATAAATACTCTCTTCATCCACAAATTTTCTTCGTTGCGACATTTGAATAAAATTAGTTTTAATTCACTTGATATGATGATTCCTGTAAAGTTAAATAATAAAAAATACATATTTAAAGACGAGTTCAGAAATTTTACAAAATAGAGGTGACAAAATTATATTATTTTCACACACAATAGGTATCAAATCTCTATTGTAGAGCTTTGTTTTATAAGGTTTAAGGAAGGCGGATGAGATGAGAGTAGATTTTTGCTTTGTTCATAGAATTAGAGGACTCAAGCAATTACACAGAAAATGGACATTCATCTATATGAAATATAATCATTTTTTTCTAAAAAATGATTTCCTACTACTTATGTAACAAAAAATTAGATTTAGATTCTTTAAAAACTATTTTTCTCACAACAAAAAAAACTCTAAAAGTCAGAATCTAAAAGAACATTGTCTTTAATAAAAAATTATAGATTATAACAAATTTTCGTTTCGCCCGTGCATGGCACGAATTAAAACACTAGTAAAGTACCAAGAGATGAGCTTCATGTTTTTTTCCCTAAAATAGAAGTTCGCACTGTGGTAATGTGACATTTTACTGGGCATTTCACAATACTTTTTGGTAATGTATACGGTCATGATTGGTACTGTAAATCCATTTTAATTCATATTTCAAGAATAAAAATATGAAACTCTTATTTTGTTATATTTTCAATGTTATACCTCTACTTTAGTTTTCCTGTAGTTATTAAACTACCTATCATAGATTCATATCATATATATTCTTTAGTTAAAAAATATCACCCCAAATAAGAGTAAAACATAACATTTATCTTCAAAAAAGACTTCCATGTTTTATCCTCAGAATAGAAGTTTACACCGTGACATTATGACATTGTATATTTGTATTATGATATTCCACTATACTTTTTATACAATAGTGACTCCTATTTTGGGGACTAAAAATTATAGAAATCTTATTTTAGTATTATTTCAGGTTTTACTCCTAGCTTATTCATTTTCAATTCCCTACCCATCGAATCATATTTTACCTATCACAATCACATCCAAGAGTAAAATTGAAAAACTCAACAACAAAAAACACTCTTCTTAAATTTGTCTATGCAAAAGTCAAAATGAGAATTATTTTTTTGAAACTGAAGGAGTATATACAAGGTGACCAAGTTCACACCTAAGGTTGTGTTCCGTTGAACTTATTTTTCAACTTATTACTTGATTTTATTAAAATTGGATCACACATGATGAAACTATATGAGATTAGATAAGATTGGACTAAATATGGTAAGGAGTGAAGATATTTTTTAGACATAAAAATGTACTCCCTCCGTCCACAAATAAACTTCTCGTTCACTATTCACAGAGTTAAACTTTATTCACTTTGTTGGCCTATTTTTGTCACTCATTTGATAAAATAATATAGTCATGTCACCTCTAGTTTTGTAGATCTTTTGATATAGTTTTTTAATATGTAATTTTTGTTTTTAAATTTTAGACCATTTTTCATATAAAATAATTTGGAAACAATTTCAGTCAAACATCGTAATGCGTAATGAAAAATTTATTTGTGGACGGAGAGAGTAGTTTTCTAAACTTTCTTGATACACAATGCTTAAACTATTTGGGCCCTATAATTATAGAAGGCCCGGGATGGCCAACCGCCCATACACAAGAACGGCCCTGAAGGGGTCTTAATGATCTATTCGACCAAGAGTCGTCGTCCTTCATCGAGTCGAAATCTTTTTAGATTTTCAGGTATTCACCCATGAAAGACCGTTATAGCACTTGAGGAGGGGCTTGGCTACCCTCTTTCACGCCCACGGGACCCGAATTACTGTCAGACACCCGACGTGACACTTTGAAGAAGGCGCAACATGTTGAATATTACAGCGGGAAAAATAAAGATAAAATAATCCGAACTTATAAAACGTTCGAATTTTACAACGAAAAAATAAAACAAAGAAAATGGAGTCTTCGGAAGCTGGAACGGATCGAAACGGATAGGAAGGCAGGAAGGCAGCGACTAACAGAGACGTGTGGTAGGGTGTCGCCGGAGAAGGTTCTTGAACAGAGGTAAGAAAAGCGGAGTCGCCGAAACTTTCCTTAAGGTAGTATTGTCCGCCTCCCACACTGGCAAACATGGGCAATCTCCTCCCAAGATAAAACCGCTACGTGCAAGGCCTAGGGCGGTAGAACCGTGCACCGACAAACGAGAACGACGGAAGTTACTTCCGGAGAAGACGATCGTAAATGGGAGACAATTGGAAGCTTATGTAACGCAGAGAGGATTTTCGAGAGTGTCCCCTCTTCCTGCAACCAAGCCCTCTTTTTTTCGAAACGGACAGGAAGGCAGGAAGGCAGCGACTAACAGAGACGTGTTGTAGGGTGTCGCCGGAGAAGGTTCTTGAACATAGGTAAGAAAAAGCGGAGTCGCAGAAACTTTCCTTAAGGTAGTATTGCCCGCCTCCCGCACTGGCAAACATGGGCAATCTCCTCCCAAGATAAAACCGCTACGTGCAAGGCCTAGGGCGGTAGAACCGTGCACCGACAAACGAGAATGACGAAAGTTACTTCCGGAGAAGACGATCGTAAATGGGAGACAGTTGGAAGCTTTTATGTAACGTAGAGAGGATTTTCGAGAGTGTCCCTCTTCTTGCAACCAAGCCCTCGAGTTGGCTCTTCGCTGGACCGGACGTAGATTACAAAGAGATGAGTGTCTCTTCGGTCTCCCCCACCACGACGCGGGCCGCCCCGCCTCGCCCCGCCCCGTCGCGCGCGCGCGTTACAAGCCGGACGGGCGGCGCGCGAGGAGTCCTCTTCTTGCTCTTTTCATAAGCTCAAATAAATGTCTAAGCTTAAATATGAGAATACGAAATGTTCAAAAACCGGTGTGGGACAAGAGTTTTTACTCTTCCCTCGTATTCAACTTTGAGAATTAATTTCTCATTCACCCTAGCAACGTTTATGGCGTGTAATATGTCAAGACGTTCGTCTTACTTACGAGATTAAACATCCACAATTATTTCGAAAAATAATTTTGTGGACCCGACCAAATTTATGTCCGAAAAATGTCCAATTTATCTAAAAATTTCCAACACAACAATCATTTTTATGCGTAAGTGGCACCTACTTTGCACATAACCAAACCCTATCAAACTTTATTATAACACGTAGTGTAAGCCAATCTAGATTGAAATTTATTACATGTGCCAACGAATATCAAGCAAATAAATAATTGCATGTTAGATGTTCTATTCAAGAATGTGTTAACAATTTGTAATAATTGTTAGTGCATTAGGGAACAACAATTTCAATGACACTCAAGATGGCCATTTCACATGTTATACATATGTTTTCATTATAAAAGTTCCCATCTCTATTTAGCATGGCATAACCAATAATCAAATTTGGATACGATATTTAAAGGGACATCTAAACTACTTATGGTCCAAACATGATACAATGGGTCCAACACATAACTCTGTTTTGATCCAACATTGCATCCCATCATATAAATGGGTCCAACATTTGAGGCCCATTACGGGAAACATCTTCTGCTTTTATTCTAGTTCTCAAAATATGAGTTCTATATTTTTATTCTAAAATAGAATTTTTGCATTTCAGTGATATTATTTGCATTATACCCCAATTTGTGGATAATAAAACACAGAACTCTTATTTTGAAGCTGTCGTCGTGTTTTATCCCAAGTTTAATCATCTTCCCTACCTATCAAATCATATTTTACTCATCACAATCACAACCAAGAGTAAAATTGAAAAATCAACAATAAAATACACTCTTCTTAAGTTTCCCAATGTAAAAGTTAAAATTAGAATTGTTTTTTAAACGGAAAGAGTATATACGAGGGCACCAAGCTCGTAACTAAGATTATTTGAGCCCGGAGTGCAAATTAAAAAAGATTGGTCCCTTACAAAAATTGTTAAAACCTTTTTTTTTTGCTAAAGTTGAAGCTCAATAAATATAAAAGTAATTTTTTCAATACAAAGGAAAAAAATACAAAACTATTTTAAAAAGACCAAAGTTTTCTAAGTAAGAGCAATTGACACTTGTTTTGGCAAATTGACATTCAAGAATATTAATACAATAAATGTGTTTTTCAAAACTTATTTGCAACACAGTGTAAGACCATCAAGATTGAAATTTATTATATGCGACAACAAATATCGACCAAATAATTACAGTTAAATGTTGGCCACGTTTGCGTTAGCGTTTTCAGAATTAATCAAGATTATTAAAATTTTATTTAAAATAATAACAGTAATCGAAAATGTTATTCCCAAACAAGGCCCTTGGATAAAAAAGGTGTTGAACAATTTGTAATAATTATTAATGCATTAGGGAACAACAATTTCAATGACACCCAAGAAGGCCATTTCACATGTCATGTTTTCATTATAAAAGTTTCCATCTTTATTAAGCATAACCAATCATCACATTTACAAACGAATTTAAATGGACATCTTAAATACTTATGATCCAAACATGAAACATGACACAATGGGTCCAACATTAGCAAAACTCTGTTCAGGCCCAACATTGTAATTTGCATCCCAAGTCCCATCACATAAATGGGTCCAACATTTGAGGCCCGTTTCCAGAAACATCTTCTGCTTTTAACCTGGTTCTTACGGTTTTAAACCCACTTAATACATTTTCACTGTCACCCTCCCCAGACGTTATTTTGTGGGATTCACTTGGATTGTTGTTGTAATACATTTTCACGGCAAGAAACTCGCCACCTGTCTTCCATGTGGCAGTCCCACGTGTTCCCGGCCACTGTTAAAAAGCCGTACGGTCTCTAGATTGTTTTTTATTTAATCACTTTTTTGAACCGAAAGGAAAATAAAAAAAATAATGGCGCCCAAAAAACAAGCAAGAAGGACGACCGCGGTGGTTACATCCCGGAAAGTGGTTGAAAAAACCGTCCAAGTGGTGGTCACCCCGGGAAACCACGGCGGCGGCGTAGAAACAGAGAAACAACAACCTTGCAGCGCCAGCAGTGTTGCCGCCGAGGTTGTCTCTCTCTTATCCAAAGAAGAGCCCACGGTCCACAGAACCGTCTCGGTAGAATGCAATACCGGAGACCCGCCGGCGGCGAGAATGACGAAGAAGCGGAAGCGGGCGGCGGGCGGCGGCGGTGAGGCAGAGTACAAGAGGTACGTGTATAAGGTGTTGAAACAGGTGCACCCGGACTTGGGGATATCGGCCAGGGCCATGGCGGTGATAAACAATCTGATGGCGGACATGTTCGAGAGGATAGCGGCGGAGGCGGCGGCGCTGGCGAAGTACGTCTCCCGCCGGACGCTCTCGTCTCGGGAGATTCAGGACGCCGTCAAGCTGGTGCTGCCCGGAGAGCTCGGGAAGCATGCCGTCGCGGAGGGAGCCAAGGCCGTCGCCGCTTACGCTGGCTATATAAACGGCGGCGGTAGCCGCAACCCAAAGTCGCCGCCGTCCAAAACCAAATAATAATAGAGTTTGTAGTTTGATTTCGTCTTATTTGCTTGAGTATTGTCGGTTCTAAAAAGTCTTTCCTATTTTATTTTTACGCATCTCATAAAACACTTCTATCTCGTCTCTTCTATCTCGTCTTGAATGCCAAAAATACTTTCAAAATAACTTCTACCCACAATAAAGAAGAAATGTTGTAAATTTTAGGAATTTTAAATGTCGGTAGAAGTGTTTTATGGGATGCGCAAAAAATGAAACATGAAAGAGTTTTTGGGATGGAGGGAGTATATACATAACGTACCTAGAGTTTCCCGCCTTAAAATCTCTTTCCTATTTTGATTTTATAAAATTTATGGAAAAGATAATTTTGCATTGATATTCCAAAAATTGTTACTAATGATATGATAGGTAAGGCGATGATTAGCGGGTGTAAATCATTTTTAATGCTCTCTCTGTTTAGTAAGAACACCACAAATCACAATTTAAGAGTCATTAAAATTGAATTTTTGTTTATTTATGTATTTTTATTAGTATGGTTAGATATTTGAAAAAATAAAATATTTTGTCTGATTCTTATTTTATAGAATTTTTGGCAGTAGTTTTTAAATATATATAAAATTTATTATTTATTTATATACAATTCCTTGAAATAAAATGAATGAAAAAATTTACCATTTTACTTTGGGCAATGTGATGGTTTTTTTGGGACACTAAGAGATTTGGGAGAGAGGGAATAAATATGCTTCAAATCATTTATATTTTTTTCTCTTGTAGAAATTCATCTCTCATTCACTTTTCAATATCTAGTGTTTAATCAATCAACATTATATTTTTTTTACCTTGATAAAGTATGAGCGTGAAAATTAATTTGGGGTGTAGAGTATGCGGTATATATGCACATGTGTGAACCACACAAAGAAATTAAAGAAGTGTGATTGAGAATTTGTAAGATAAATTTATTTTACAACTAAATGCACAAAGTAAATACGGAGTAATATAAAAGGATGAACTTACCTCATTCTCGTAGAGAGACACTTGAGAGACGTAAATTAAATATACTCCCTCCGTCCCAGAGTATTTGTCCATTCATTTTTACACACCATCTAATACACTTCTTTAATTCATTTTATCTTGTAATTTGTATATTAAAATATTATAGAAATTATATACTAATAATCTATATGTTAAGACAAATCAAACAAGATCACACATGAATATATTTAGACTTACACATTAAGAGAATTTGATGAGTCAAAGTACTTAATTGAACAGTTCCAAAAGTCAAAAGTGGACAAATATAACGAGACGGAAGTAGTATTTGTAGAAGTCTCATGCTTAAACTAGTACAATTACCTCAGAGTATAGTAATTAGAATCAAATTTAGATGTTATTTCTTGGCTTGCCAACTATGCAATTGTCACCAACAAATACGGAGTAATACAGAATGTACATTGTATACTATTGATTAATACCATATACTACATCCGTCTCTGAAAACCTTTCTCCCTTCTTTTTTCATCCGTACCAAAAAACACTTATCATTTCTACAGAGTATTAAAAAGTCACTTTTACCCTTTACTTTTTCATACCCTACCTATCACATCATACATTTTTTTACTATTAATCTATCCATCAAATCATACTTTTACCCATCACATCAAAGAACATTTTTGGAAATTCAATACCAAAATACACTCCTTTTAAATCTTTCTTCAAAATCAAAACTCCCATGTTTTTCGGAACGGAGAGAGTATTTTTTACTATGTGAACGTTATGGGTTGACATATACTACCTCCATCACATAGTAATTTGATTTTTTTTTGACTTGTTGCATTTGGCTTTTGACTTGAAATAAATATAAATTACATGATATATATCATTTAAATAAAATAATATATTGAAAATATTTTATAAAATAAATCTAATATAATTATTTCAATTTTAATGTCTACTCCGTAATATAAGTTATATTTAATTTGTAATCAAAGTTTATTAATCTTAAAAGTAAACAAATACTCTAAAATTGAAATTCTAACGAGAGTTCCGTAATAAATTATGGTACATAATGTTGGTATCGGATAGGGCCTCGACTATTATAGGCCCTCACTCGGAACATTTATTTAGGACGAAGTGGTTGAAAGGTTGGGTTTCGGCCCATATTTTTTTCTCTTTGGTTTTTCTTTTTTTGTTTTAACTTTTTTTTTTGTGCACTTAATTTTTAATTCGAACCTACATGGTAAAAAAGTCATAATTGTTGCGTTAAAAAAAAGGATAATCACACCTCATCACCAGAAAAACTAAATTTACCCCACATTATTTTCACTCTAGTATAGTCCAGCTTTATCTTTTTTTACAATAATGTTTCACTCCATACTATAGAGTGTTTTAGAAATTCATATAAATAAATAAACAATTTAAGGCTAAAAATTAAATACACCCAAAATCAAGAAAAATTACATTTTTCTTCAAATTTTTCTCATGACCAAACAATAGTAGGATTTTGAATTTCATCATTTTTCTCTTTTCCTTTCTTTGAGAGTTTTCATTCTTTATTCCTTGAACAAACATAGTTTTAACTTCCTCCTTGATTGGAATTTAATCTATCTGCAAGGAAAGAATTTAGTCTTCATTCTCAAACTTCCATTAGAGGAAACCACCAAAAAATTACTCTGATGTATCCTTAATTTTTTAGTAAAACTCTCAAGTTCTATATTTTTTGAAATATAATTCAGGATGCCTTTAATTTTATGGTAGGAACTCGCAAGTCGCACATTATTCGAAGTCTACTGTGGGGTTCTTCAAATTAGTGGTAATGTACTCTGATGTATATTCCGTCTACTTAAACGTTAAGATTAAAAGTTCAGGTACTTTGATAATCATTATTGTATCAAATTCAAATAAAATTCTTCAATTTTTCAATGTAAAAGAACTTTCAATCGTGATGCCTAAATGAACGGAATGTACCATCAGAACATAATATTGCAAATTTTAAAGATCTCGTAGTATATTTTGAATAATATGAAACATGACAGTTCTTACTAGAAAATTGAAATTATCTCGTAGTATATGTCAGATAATGTGTGACCTACGAATTATTACCAAAAAATTGATGGTTCTATAGAGTAATTTTTTGCAAATAATTTGGTGGGCGAAACGTAAACGGTCACTGTTATGAAGTAAAATGTTCTTTTGGATTTCTCAAAACAACATGGTTTTCAGGTTTTGATTTCAATCTATTAAGGTAATATCTTGAATAAAAACGGAACAAAATGGTTCTAGGGAGCATATTTGAGTTTATGGAAAATTTGTATAACCATTCCTTCCATTCAAATGCATCGATGGAGAACCTATGGTGGGGTCGGATACTGGTGGGATATAGTTTAGGAAAAACTTAGACGTACTCCACCCAAAATAATGTGTTAGAGTATATCCCACATCGAAAAATCCAAGAGTAAAATAATTGGTATATAAGCTCTAGAGTTGAACTAACTAATCGATTGAATTCAATCTTTTAATGTGGTTCAACCTAAGTGTCTTATTGCCCAATTCAGTTGTCCATATCAATCCCAAATTTTATCATGGTATCGGAGCCAGTTTTAGCCCACCTCGTTTGTCAAGGTGTCCGTCTAGACGTTCACTCCTAGCGGCCCGTTAGTCTTTAGCCCAGTTGTCCGTATGGAGGTTGTACCCAACGGCTTGTGGCATGTTTAACATGATTGCTCGTCTGAAAGTCCACATCCGGCGACTCGTTGTCCTTTAGGTGTTGGCGCTCATAAAAAAGTCAAGGGAATGAGAATTCATTTGCAAGTGGTCAACCGGTTAGATTCAAAATAGCCCGATTGTCCACTTGAGGGGGAGTGTTAGAGTACATCCCACATCGGAAAATCCAAGAGTAAAATAATCGGTATATAAGCTATAGAGTTGAACTAACTAATCGATTGAATTCAATCTTTTAATGTGGTTCAAACACACATTTTGTATGTAACACAGATAATGGGTGTCTGTGAGAGGGTGATGTAAATTTGAGATGCACCACTTTGGAGTAGATCTCTATAGTTTAACCAAAATCGTTCACTTATGCAATGGGTAGTTTCCTCATAAAATCAATCTCAGGACAAATAACTCAAGCAAAAATAATGTCCGACTAAATGAGTTGAACTATGTTCAACGAATTCCATAATCACGAGTCTGTTTATAGTCGCGACTGTTGTCATAGTCAACAAAGTTGAAACTTCCAAGAAAAAACTTCGAATTGGGAGGGCAATCCTCCCGGTGAACTGACCGTAACCCAAACCGACATAGATGAACAAGTAGAGTATACTAGGGTGCTTGAGAGACGAAATGAGTTCAACGTTTGCAAATGGGTTTACCATCATCCCTTAAAAAGTTGGCTGGATTTTGCCCACTAATTAATTCATAATAACTTTAATTTGCGTGTAATTCAATGAATATTTTTTTCATGGTCAACATTTTTAATTTTTGAACAAAAAAAGTATTTTAGAATAATTATTTTTTGGTTCAAGGATAAATATATATTAATGATTATATCAATATTACAATTCCACGAAGGATACAATACAAAATTTACACAAATACCACACCAAACTCAGGGGAAAAAAACCAATAAGAATTGAAAATGTACAGAGTAACATTTATTATACTCGTTCACACAAGAAGACACACGTGGCAATACATCTTCAAAGCCCCGTCAGAAGTCCACATGGCACTTGACTTCGTTAAAACTGTCCGATGAGTACGACATCACCGCCGGCTTGCACGTCACCTTAATCCGGTGATGGTGCGATTTCCACGCGCCGGTCTGAAACCGAACCCGGCCCTTCAACTTGACGACCAACTCAACCTTCCCGGCCGACCTCTCCCTCTTGAACTTCTTCGCCGTGTTTCCGTACAGCGTCACGTTCTTCGCAGGAAGAAACAAGGGTATGTACCTCACGCTCCGGCCGGGGTGGCGGAACGCGGCGGCGCGTGAGGACGCGATCTGCTCGTCCCCGAAAAAGAGCTGCGCGTTGAGGGCCACGTAGTGGGTGGACACCCTTTTGCTGGGGTTGAAGGCTTTGACGGTGAAGTTGAAGTCGGCGGTGAGACGGCCGTCGCGGTCCGCCGTCAAGTTGTAGTTGTGGACGGCTCCGCCCACGACGGAGTAAACCGGCTTGTGCGGGCGGGCCACGAGCCAGACGATGAGGACGATAACGCCCCCGACGAAGATGAAGACGAGGAATGACAATGCGATGAAGTAAAGTAGGTTGCGGCGTGGCTGCTGCTGTGGCGGGGCGTGGGCGGCGGCCGGCGGGAGAGGCTTATGCTGGAGGTTGGAGGGAGGGTTGTTCATGGTTTTGGCTTCTTCTTTTACTCAATTATTCAAGCTTATTAGCAGCCTTGTTTTGCATGCAAGAATACGTGAAGCTAGGGTTTATTTAGTGAGTTTTGATAGAGAAGTTGCATGTACTACTATCAAGTACTCCCTCCGCCCCGAAAAACATGGGAGTTTTGATTTTGAAGAGAGATTTAAAGAGGAGTGTATTTTGGTATTGAATTTCCAAAAATGTCCTTTGATGTGATGGGTAAAAGTATGATTTGATGGGTAGATTATTAGTAAAAAGGTATGATGTGATAGGTAGGGTATGGAAAAGTAAGGGGTAAAAGTGACTTTTTAATAGAAATGAGAAGTGTTTTTTGGGACGGATGAAAAAAGAAAGGGGAAAGGTTTTCTGGGACGGAGGGAGTATATGAAAGGAATTTGGTATATTATTAGTTATGATCTGATTATAATTTAAGAGAAATTTACCTAAATAGGACTAAAACATAATGATTTTTCCAATATATGACCATATGTTTTTATTTCTCAATGTATGACTTTTGGTCATTATGAGGTAGTCATTATTCAAGTAAATGTCCATCATTACTGGACATTATTTCTCTCACTAGGTCATTATTAAATCCTATTTAGGGAATAAAAAAGTTTAAGTCCTACATTAGAAAAGTCATTATGTTTTAGTCCTATTTAATGCAAATTTCACATAATTTAATTAATATTGGTGGTTGATATCATACAATTCTAATACTCGATATGTCCAAAAAAAAATTATATTTTCATTATTTAAAAGTTACGAAAACTGTTTTTATTTGTGTGTTTTGATTGATTATTTGAAAAAAATATTTTTGTCACATCTTAATTTTTTAATTTTTTGACGTAATTTTCAAATATGTAATTTTTATTTGTAATTTATTTAACAATCTTTAATAAAATTAATTAAAAAACTTGAAATTTCAATTTCTTGAGAGGGGGGTGTAAAAAAGAAATAGAAAAATAAGCTAAAGAGAACATGGCCTATAGTTGCTTATAAGCTTGTTTAGCAAGTATGACTGGAGATGCTCTAAGAACCGGGATTAGGTGAATTATTTTGGGGTTTTTACTTTTGGGTTTTTTTTTGTTTAAATTAAAGATGCAGATGATTATTGGAAAAAGAAAAGAATAAAGGTGAAAGGGGAGGGACACATCGAAACACAATGAATATATGGTAATGCTTTGTTATTTCAGATTATAACACATGCATTTCTACGGTTTAATCAAAATCAAAAGAAGTGAATACGGAATATATTTACTTTTCTTATTATATTATTTTCTTTATTTTACTATATTGTTACTACAATTGTTCTCTTATTATGATTAATAAAACTCTTTCATGTACGTAGTAATTCTTATAAATAAAAATGTATCTTTCAATTTTCAATAAGACTGATTATTATCAAATCATATATGTTTGTTTAGATGAGATAACAAAATGTGTTGAGTACTTACTTTTTAAATAAAAAAAATTAATGAAGAGAAGAGAAGCAAGAAGTTCATTCAAAAAAAGAATTTTATTTTGTGACATAAAGAAAGTGGGAATTAATTTAAGGATAGATGGAGTAGGTGAAAATGGACATTCTTAGGCTATGTTTGGTATCAAAACATGTTTAGTGAGATGAAAATATATAGGAATCGAAATTCCAAGTCGTTTAAATAGAAAATTTGTCACCTGAGCAAATTTAGTTTAGAGACAAAAAATAAGTGGGATTTTTTTGTTGTTGCAAAAAGATGTTATAACCAAAGATTCCACTCTCTCTTATTCATTTAAAAAAACTCCGCAAGTATTAGAGGGGAGAAATTTAATTCAAAACACAATTTTGTTTTCTTGCACAGAATGCAACCCAAGGGTTCAATTTAATTAGCTGTAAGTCACAGCTAGCCTAGCTAGCAAAGCCAGATTCTGTTTAATTTAGCCCTAAAGCGCTAGCTAGCTAATCAATGGCACATACGAAAGATATTCTTAATTAGTTTAGGACTTAGGAGGAGGCATTGACAAGATAGGGATTGGTTAAAAAAGGGAGAAGCTTCATCCACTTTAAGTCTTTAATTTGATCTATTTGCAATACGTAGCTATTTCTGGCCATTGCGATGGGATACAACTATGTTTAGCGTTTGAGTGTTTTATGGGGTTCATCATTATTTTTTCAATATATTGCTTAATTATGCAGAGGCGTTTGAGAGTGTTTTATGGTGTTCTCCGTTTAGTTTATATTTATAGACTAATATTAGAGAATTTGAGATTGAATTCGGAAATTAGATATTTTCCGGCCATATTAAAATAGTTCACGCCTTCAAACAAAAATATAAATAGAAAAGACTATGTAGGTGTTTCTCTGTGCTTTTAAGCGATTCAAAACTGCTTATAAACAATTTTTAAAACTTATAAGTCAACTGATGACATTTTTTGTATGCTTATAAACTGACTTAAATGACAGATAAATTATTTGTAAATATTCATAAATGGTAAGAGATAGTTTTGTAAATAATCTGGTCAAAACGGTGAAACAAAAAACTGGCTTAAAATGGTGAGAATACTTTTTGTGCAATGTGTGTGTGTGTGTGTGTGTATGAACAACAACTTGTTTATGCATATTTCATTTTTGTGTTAAAAACTCATAGAATTCAAAATGAGGAAAGAATTACTAGATTAGACTATAAGACACTTTGGTTAAACCACATTAAACAGTTAAATTCAATGAAATATTTAGTTCAAATCAAAAGCTTATATGCCCAATATTTTTATCATCAAATTTTGATGTTTAATAGACTCTAACACTTCCTCTTAAGTGGATAATCGAGTCATTTTAAATTTAATTGGTTGACCACTTGCAATTGAAATCTCATCCCTTGATTATTTTGTTCAGCACCAACACCTAAAAGATCACGAGGTGCTGGGTGTAGACTTTGAGATGAGCAATCGGGTTAAACAAGTCACATGTCATTGGTTATGCATCTCACACGAATAACTGGGTTAAAGACTGGGGCATCTAGGAATGAACGTGTAGATAGACACTTTGACAAACGAGGTGGACCGAAACCTACTCCGATACCATTATAGAATTAAGAATGAGGAAAGAAATACTCGATTTTGTTATATAATACTTGAATTGAGCCACATTAAACTATTGAATTCAATGAATTACTTAGTTCAACTTGAGAGATTATAAATCAAATGTTTTAATCTACAACTTTCAATGTGAGATAGACTCTAATTAACAAAAATACAAGGGTGACAGAAAAATTGACCAAGGTCATAAGTCGGTTTTAGGAATTCGAAACTCTAGAAATTCAATGAAAACAAATTGTTGTTCCCATGCCTTGTTAGTTGGTGGGAGATCGTAAATGAAATTTTTCTTTTGCCAGGCTTGGATAATACTTCCTCCGTCCACAAATAAATTTTACGTTCACTATTCATAAGGTCAAACTTTATTTACTTTGTTTTGTAGATCTTTTGATATAGTTTTTTAATATGTAATTTTTATTTTTCAATTCTACACCATTTTTCATATAAAATGATTTGAAAATAACTTCAGTCAAACATCATAACGTGCAATGTAAAGTTTATTTATGGACGGAGGGAGTAATTGTTGGGATAAAGGCCTATGATGAGGGCCCATGGTGAAAAGGTGTTCCCAAATTGCCCATGGAGTCCTCGCCAGGTGCACCTCTTTCCACTACAAGAATATGTGGGACCGAGCGTAATTAGACCCAACGGATCCTCGGGGTCGAGCATACCTAAGTCGAGGGAGACTTGAAAAAATAAATGACTACTCATTCACCCAACGATAACCGAGCGGGACCCGCTCGGGGTCAGGCCATGAACTTGGTGACCAACCACCAATCATGACAATTGTACGATCATTTAATGCGGAGGCGACGTCTTACGCATGCGCCAGCCTCCATAAACCACTGTGCAGTGATTTCCACTGTAGACTCATGCCGAATCTCCCGGCAATTAAACTCCTGCATAATTCTTCTATAAGTACAAGTAAGCAAGGGGAAGAAAGGGACTAAATTGAAGTCTAAATTCCAACAATAATGTAGCCTAAATACTTGGTAAATCTTGAACGCATGATCGTAATTTAGACAATCACTAACCCTCCTTAATTTGTCAAGGGTGGGGATATACTAGGGGCGTTAGACTGATGTCATTTACGAATGAACACCGTATAAGTTTCAATTTTAGTTGGTATTGTTCGTTGATATTCAAAACAAATAACTCTAGAATGTCACTCTTTTTCACCACACTTTCATTACACAAACTTATTTCTCAAGTATTAATTTCACAAATTCTTTTTATATTTGAAATTTTTCACATATCCAAACTCTAGCACTATGTTTGGTTCAATGAATTTGAAAGGGAAAAGAAAAGAAATCAAGATAGAAATCAGACTTTCTTCTATTTTAGTGACGAAAATGAGAAAAACTCATTTTCTTTTATTTTCTTTTCTAATTTTTTGAACCAAACATAGCGTCAGGTCACATGCTAGGGAAAACCAAATGGGCGGGAATTTGCTTAAGTTTGAAATTTAAATAGTGCACAAACGAAAAAAAACCAAAACAGAAAAAAAATCCAATTTCGCCAGCAATCTCCTTCATACAAATTGGCCCTTCCCCCTTTCCCTCTATCAATAAACTCCGATCATCTTTCTTCAGCATCGATTCATCGCTCTGCAATTTCAGGTATTTGCGTTTTTTTTCCTGCGATCCATCGCTCATAAACAGAGATCTAGCTAGATTTTCTTTTCTAAATTCGGGGATTTGTTTTATTTTTACAGTGCAAGTAGATTGTAATTTTTAATCGCCCGGCAAAGCTTCGATCCGCCACCATCGTCGGGCTACCCGTGAAGAAATGGGCCAGATCCAGTATTCTGAGAAGTACTTCGATGACACCTTCGAGTACAGGTAATCGTTTCATCCTCTTCCCCCACCTATTTGATTCTTCATTTTATTCTGCAGAATATACAGTGTTTCATCCATTCATATTGATGTAAATTTGTTTAATATAATATTAGGCATGTTGTTCTCCCTCAAGATGTGGCAAAGCTCCTTCCTAAGAATCGGCTTCTCTCTGAAGTAAGTGCATTTAGCATGGTAGTTTGATGCTGTATTCAAATTGGTGATATGAGTTGTATGATCGCATATTCGTTGCTGCGAAGAACGTCTTGAATTAATAGGAATTTGGTAGCTTCATATAGATCATATTTGAGGATTTCCTTGTGTTTGAATCCAGTTCACTTAGGCGGTTTTTGGTACCCAGGTTTCATTGAAAATTTATTTTATGTTCTTGAGATGAAAATCTTTTCTTTGGTCCAGACTTCAGAGCTTACAAATCACTTTTACAACTCTTGGAAAGATTTGATTTGCATTACTTATCTGTAATGTCAAGTTTTGGATGCATATATGCACTTGAGATGATTATATTGATTGTTCCTAAATTTATTACGTGTAATCGTACGAAAAACTAAAAGATGTCATGGAAACTTTTGTTTGCGCAAAAATCTTTCCCTCATAATTGGCAAGGTTCTTGTGTGTCGATGTGGATATATCGTATTTGAAAATTAAATACTTAGAGTTTTAAATTTGGTTTTGCTCAACTATTATAGAATGTCGGAGATTCTAGCAACCATTGTGCATAGTGGAGATCTGAACTGATCATTTCCTTTTCATAATTCACTAGTTGATTTCATCGTATCAATCTTGTATTGAAAGTTGAAACATGACTAACAAGTATATGGAACATATGATTTCCATATGATGGGAGGAAAAACTCATTTCTGATTAAGTTTTGGGTAGTAAATTCAGCTATGCATCAATGCTTGGACGAGTTTCCTTTTCATTTATGGTTATGAGGGGCAAAGACTGCCTAATCTTTTCCCCATATCTCTATGGAGTTGGAAATATGTTTGGTTTTGTTTTTGTTCATGTTATAGTTTCATCTCAGTAATCCTTCTTCAAAAGGTTGTTTTAGTAAGGGCATTTCCCTACAATCTCTTTCGTCAATCACTATTGTGTTTTTTTTAAAAAAATCAATATACTGTTAACTAGATTTAGGCCAGTAATTTACATTATATTAGCACAATGCTTTAACAATATTTGTGTTTTTTGAGTTGTGTATTAGACCGAATGGAGAGCTCTAGGGGTTCAGCAGAGCCGGGGTTGGGTGCATTATGCTATTCATCGACCAGAGCCGCACATCATGCTCTTCCGTAGGCCGCTCAACTATCAACAACAACAAGAGAGTCAGTCTCAGCAAAGCATGGTTGCCCATTGAATTGCTGTAGCTATGCGTTTTACGCTCCCCGATGACATTTGTTTTGTAAGCGATGTTGCGAACTTGTGTTGTCCAGTACTTCACTGAAATGTGTGGATGTGTATGAGACTTGTTTCTTTTGCCTTTCATGTAATGACTCTTTATGCTGTTTTGTGTGTCTCTTGAGGTGTGTGTGGCTAACAAAAGAAATTTGTGTGGCTAACAAAAGTATGCATTGCCATATGCTAGCCTTACTTACAATCTCTCTACATTTTAAGTAGGGAACGACTAGAACAAGTAGCTTTGATTTAAAAAAAAAATTATGAAAACGTTTTAAAAAATTCTTTTGGGTGCTTTGGGTTTGGATTTTTGAAAAAATTGATTGTGATTTTGTAATGAAAACATAAATATTTTGTTTTCTATAACTTTTGATATAGTTTTTAAATATGTATTTTTTTAATATTAATTTGTAAATATAATTATTTTAAAGAGTATATAGTTTTTATATTGTCAACAATTTTTTAGAGACAAATGGAGTATATATTGAGTTTTTGAATTACAAGTCTATACTCTAGAAGCCAAATGATTTTTTTTCATAAAATAAAGTACTAATTGAATTTGATTATTGGATACGATGTTCTTTGCATGGAATTTTTACCGCTACTATGGATAATATTTTTTATTGACCAATCTCTAATTAAAATTTTATAACTTCTTTCAATTTGAGAAATTCTTCTTGTGATACAGATCTTGCGAAAATATATGTAAATATGACAATATATATCTTGCGAAAATATATGTAAATATTTATCTTTATAACTTTATTTTTCTATAAAAAATGATGTTACAAAAGAAAATTTGCAAATATTGTCCAAAAATAAAGTAATCCAAGTTGGTCCTTATTTTGCCATTTGGATTGCCTGTCTGTGTGACACGCAAAGGCTTTCCTTCCTTCTTCACTCCACCGCTTCCCTAATCAAAACTCCCAATCCCTCACTGCACAACCACAACCCAGTCTACAATGGCGTCCTCTCTTTGGACTCCCTCACTTCTCACTCTTCCTCTTCGAACCTCGCTCCCTCCGCGCCTCACCGCGGCCCCGAATCTACCGCCGCCGGCAAGATGCGGAATTACTGCTGCCTCCCCTCTCCGCGTGTCCGCTCCGGCGACCACCCCGCCGATGGCCGAAGAAACCCTAGACGAGGAAGTTATGCTGGACTCGAACGAGGTCGAAGACGAATCGCAGGCTAAGTTCAATTGGCGAGAACATTGGTACCCCGTTGCCCTAGTTGAGGATCTCGACCCTAGTTTGCCCACCCCTTTCCAGCTTCTGAACCGTGAAATCGTCCTCTGGTTTGATGGATCGAGCTCCCGCTGGGTCGCCATGGATGACAAATGCCCCCACCGTCTCGCGCCGTTATCGGTAATTCCAATTCACCGTACCCTATTGTTAAATCCAGTTACTGCGCACTTTTTTTGGTGGGGTGTTTTCTGATTTGGTCAATGGCTTGTATGATTAGGAAGGGAGATTGGATGAAAATGGGCATTTGCAGTGCTCTTACCATGGGTGGTCGTTTGATGGGTGTGGGTCGTGTACAAGAATCCCTCAGGCTTCCCCGGTGGGACCTGAAGCCGGGGCCGTTAAGTCTCCGAGGGCATGTGCCACCAAGCTTCCCACCATGGTTTCTCAGGGACTTCTCTTTGTTTGGCCAGACGAGAACGGGTGGGAAAGAGCTGCTTCCACCATGCCCCCCATGTAACTATGTTTTGCTCTTCAGCTCTATTATCTATTACTATGTGTGTATGAGTATTTGGGTGAACTAATGACTTTGCTTGTGTATGGTTTTTCTCTTGAATTTGATTATAGGCTGCCTGATGATTTTGCTAAGCCCGAGTTTGCAACCGTGAATATTCAGCGCGATCTGTTCTATGGGTATGATACTTTGATGGAGAATGTCTCCGACCCTTCTCATATTGATTTTGCACATCACAAGGTATGATGTTCTTTGCAAGATAAGATTTTTTTGTACAATGCACCCTAAATTGTTCATAAACAAATTGATGGGCTTTAATCCACTAAAATTATGACCTAAGTAATAGGGAATAGGTCGTAAGAACTATGAAGAGATAAGCATGATAATGCCTTTTGTATATCAAGAGTGTGTTACTTCAGGAAAGAGGTCAACCAACAATGAGAAATCACCTCCAACATTCCAATTGGACACATTCCAGTAGGACATGGGAATGTGGCCCATGATCATGGGATATCATGGCCTTCTCGGGGGTCGTGGGGAGATCATGGACATTATGATATTTTCTCTTGTAATCTTGTCTCCTAACCATAGCGCCTACCTTGTCCATCACATACATGATACATGAACCTCTCTTCTGGGTTGGCTTAACCAGCCCCATCTCGCATGGGCTTCATCTCCTCTCTCCAATCATGTGGGCTCCGGGGGTCTGGGCGTAAACACAATACGTAGTACTTCCTCCGCCCACAAATAAATTTCCCAGTTGCGTGTTACGATGTTTGACTGAAGTTATTTTCAAATTATTTTATATGAAAAATGGTGTAAAATTTAAAAATAAAAATTACATATTAAAAAATTATATCACAAGATCTACAAAACTAGAAGTGACATGACTATATTATTTTGTTAAATGGGTGACGAAAATTAGCCAAGAAAGTGAATAAAGTTTGACCCTGTAAATAGTGAACGGGAAGTTTATTTGTGGACGGAGGGAGTATTAATTATGGAATGTGTATATTGAGCCTAACTCACTATACATTTTTGGTTGCCAGTCCAATAGACCCATCCCAAATATTGACATGGTATGAGTGTATGCCTCATAAATCCTAGCATTGATTGTTGGTACTACCTTCGTAAAGAAAGAGTCTTATTTCACTAAGATAGATCTTTTAAATTGTAGTGATGTACAATTATTGGAAACTATCAATTCTAGCTATATTTATATATATTTATCTGCTCGTTTCACTCTTAACATGTTGAGAATTGGCTTCTTTAGTTCAAATATGACCTTTTTCTTCGAATATGGATTTTTTAAAATTGTAAAATAATACTTTTAGATATACTCCGTATGTGATTGTCTAATACATCAAAAGAGAAGGCAAACGTGCAACAAGCTTCGCCGCTAGCCCCTTTTGAATAGCAAAACTAAGTCTTTTGGATTCCTTTATTTTCTTTCTTTTCTTGGTCTCACCCACAGATTTTTTTATAGGTCACTGGAAGGAGAGATAGGGCCAAGCCCCTGCCGTTCAAAATGGAATCTTCAGGACCTTGGGGTTTTGCTGGTGCAAATAGTGATAACCCTAAAATTAGTGCCAAATTTGTTGCTCCTTGCTATGCCATGAATAAGTAAGTTTATCATTGTTTAAGCAGATGCTTTTCCATGCACAATATTAAATATTTAAATTCATATTTCATAACTAGACTAGTTTTAATTTCACGTGCTACTTTCTTTTATCGGTTATGACTACGGCCCCGTTTGGCATCAACCTTAGAGATTAGCGTTAGTATTTTGAAAAGGCTATCCGACGGTAGCCTTTAGTGTTAGCCTTTCCTGAATTAATCTACACCATTAAAATATTATCCAAAACGCTAATGCTAATTGAAAACGTTGTTCCCAAACAAGGCCTACCTCCTTACCTAAAAAGGGTAATGTTTGACCAATGTACATTTAGAGAAAAAAATAGTTTCACTTCAATAAACTCGACCCTAATTGTTTGAAATGCGACTTGAGGGAGAGATTAGTCTTGATTAATTTTTATTTATAATTTCGGAGTTCAGTCCAAGTCAAAACATCAATTTTTGGTGCATGTTTTGAAATGTATAGCGTTCTATTAATCATTTTGAATCTACCAACTTCTGTTCATGTTTTCTGCTCTTGTTCAGAATAGAGATTAACACTAAGCTCCCTGTGTTTGGGGAACAAAAATGGGTGATATGGATATGCTCCTTCAATGTGCCTATGGCACCAGGGAAGACTCGCTCCATTGTCTGTAGTGCTCGGAACTTTTTCCAATTTACGATGCCGGGGCCCGCTTGGTGGCAGGTAACTACTTGCTCTTATATTTTTGTGATTCTTGTAGCTTTGATGGTTTTATATGAGAAAGTATTGAGACATTCATTGTAGACACTTCATCACTCCAATGCATTTTCTTAAGTTGTGTGATTTGGTCGAACAAATAGGCATAACTGAGGGAATGTTTATTTATTTACTTCAGTGATTATTTTCTGAAAACAGGTAATTCCTAGATGGCAAGAGCATTGGACTTCAAATAAGGTATATGATGGAGATATGATTGTGCTTCAAGGTCAGGAAAAGATCTTCCTTTCCAAGTCAAGGGAATCCTCTGTAGATATTAACAAAGAGTACACAAAGATCACTTTCACACCGACCCAAGCTGACCGCCTTGTCCTGGCATTTCGGAATTGGCTTAGGCGACATGGAAATGGTCAGCCAGAGTGGTTTGGTAGCATCGAGCAACTTCCATTGCCATCCACGGTCTTATCCAAACGCGAGGTATCAATAGTCCCAATTTTGTTCTCATCCCATATGCAATCATCGTCTGCATCAGTTTTATATAGATTTGCTTCACCATCTAGGGCTATGTTCGGAACTTACGAAAATGATTTTTTTATGTTTCGTGACTTTCGTCTTTCCTTAGAACAAACATAATATGTGATCATATACCATTTCAGTCACCATTAATTTGTTCTTTGAGCCGGATATTCATTTCATTAATAGGAAATAAAGTGCTAAGTGTTTTTCGGGACAAATTAGGAAGATTTAGTGGGATGGAAGAAGTATTATCTCTACATCCAAAGTCACCCATATGAACCATTCTGAATTTCCCAGTTTCCATGTTGCGACAGATGCTGGACCGGTTTGAGCAGCACACACTTAAATGCTCGTCTTGCAAAAGAGCATACCAAACGTTCGAGACCTTGCAGAAGTTTTTGGTCGGTGTCTTCGTTTTCTGTTCTGCAACAGCTGGAATCCCTTCGGACACGAGATACCGAGTGGTTTTGGGCAGCTTGGGGGTTGTGAGCGCCGGCTTGGCATATCTCCTTCACGAACAAAAGAAAAACTTTGTTTTTGTAGATTATGTGCATGCTGAAATAGAGTAAAAGATAGTTGAAATTTAACCAGTGCCCCAATCACCTTCTGTTAGTTCTGTATATGATGTTCCTATGGGGATAGGAACTGTAACTACCTGTGTGTACATTGTATATACCCATCACTAAGTTCTTTTGCTTATGATATAGGGAGTGGAAAAGAGATGAAAATTATATATTCACACATATAACTTATGATCTAATGATTCTTTACTTTAAATTGAGAATGATTTAGGTGTTAAATTAGAAAAATCTTCATCTCTTACTGATTTCTAAACCAAAAGTCAGTCTAAAACTAGTTAGGGTTTGTTTAAGTAAAGAACAAAACATGCATAACTTAGGCTAAGATCTAGTAAAAACAAACCATCTATACGTCCATCATCTATCCAACCAAATGATCAACCTACACATTTATTTATCATCTAAGCTCGAAATATGCACCATTCTAAAAGTTTACAAGTCCATGCTTCTCACCTATCTTTCTATGATGGAGAAACTTTTAGGGCCGGTTGTAGGATCTTATTTTAGGGTATTTTCTCTGCCCACTTTAGGTACCAAGGGTCTATTTGATGAGTTTTGGAGATATGATATGAGTTTTAAAATTTGGGAGAAATGATTTTATGTTTTAAAATATGAAATGAAGTTGTTTAGAGAGATTTAAAATTATGATTTAATTAGTGATTGTTGTAGGTCGCTGGTAACAGGGGCGGTTGGCGGTGGTGGCAGTAGTAGCCGGTAGTGGGGGATGATCGACGGTTGAGGGAGTAATCAAATCCCCACATTGATAGCTCTCAGATTCTGGAGATATCAAAACCTTCTATTTGAAGGATTTGTGCAAATTCTTTTTTTGCCTCACCAAACACCAAAATAGAAATATCATTTCGGAAGATATGGAAATTTATATATCTCTACACTCGCCAAACGGCCACTTGTTTTAGATTTTGGGATCCTTTACAATGAGGAAAATAGATGTATCTATAGTTACAACTTACAAGAGTGAGCATTTGGTTGTAGATACAATGAATAATGTAGTCATGTAATATGATGCCACTTATTATCTAGTTTTGACACGTTACGTTTGTCTCGATATACAGTGATGAGTGTCACGTTTAAGGGATTGGGAACAACCGAGAATACTCTTTTGTTTTCCTACTTTTGCAAGCAAATGTGGAATTTTTTTCCTATTTTTTTAGTCATTTTAGATTTTTTTGGTGTTGGTGTTATGAAAACAAAAAGAACTGCAACTTTTTTTCAATCTTCAAGAGTTATGAGAACATAAATAAGAGTAATAAACAAATTCATCCCCATAGTTACTACCTCCGTCCCATTTTAAATTGCATGTTTCCCTTTTTTCTCCGTCCCAAAATAAGTTGTCTGTTAGTTGTTTTCGTAAACTTTTAATAGTAAAATACCTAAGCTACCTCTAAAATAAGTCACTCTTCTCCACATTATCTTCTCATTCATCATCATCGCTCCTAAAAAGTACTAACAATTTCGAAAAATCAACTCTATTTTTTATTTTTCTTAAATATGCTCAAAAATCAAAACAGGCGATTTGAAACGGGACGGAGGGAGTAAATCACAATAAAAGAACATCAAATGTCATTTTATATATATATATATATATATGTATGTATGTATGTATGTATGTATGTATGTATGTATGTATGTATGTATGTATGTATGTATGTGTGTATGTATGTATGTAGAAATCAAATTGCTTTAATTTGGACTGCATGCTCTACCATCTAGCTACTTCCTACACTGCACTACCTTAATATTCCATATAAATAAATAAATATAATAAATAAATTCCAACATTAATTTAATTAAATTTAATTACTTAGTTATGACATTCCACCAACCCCGGCCCGCCGGAGAAGACATAATTTCCCGGGGTCAAATCATCATCATCATCTTCTTCAATTTGATCTTCATGTGGAGCAGGTAAATTAAGGTCCAGTGTGAACCCAGTTGCAGCTTTTCTTTGATCCTCACCGTCTTCCATGGAGGAGGAGGAGGAGGCGGCGGCGGAGGAGGAGGAGCACATCACTCTGTTCTCAGCACTGACAGTAACTCTGTTCATGTGTAACGGCCGGTGCCTTCTCATGTGACCGCCCAACGCTTGCCCGGAAAAGAACTCCGACCCGCAAATCGAGCACCCGTGGATCTTACTCTTGGCCATCGACGGCGAGCCGGAGATTCCCTTCTGGTTTTCTTGATTTTCCGGCGTGCTCTGTTTCTTGTTGTGGCTCGCTCTGTGTCCGCCCAGAGCTTGGAACGACGGGAATCTCCGGCAGCACGTCTTGCACTCGTAACCCCCCGCGCCTCCACCGCCGCGGGACAGGAGCATCAGACAATGCGCCACGTCATCGTCTTCTTCATTGGACACCCGACTGCTAGAGCTCGCCGGAGAGCCGCCTCCGCCGCCGCTACTAGAATCGCCGAATACGGCCGCCCGTGGTCGTTTACTGCGTCTTCCCTTGCACACCACCATCAAATTATCTTTCTTTTTTTTCACTTGATAAATAAGCAAAAGATATTAAATAAATAAATAAAAAGATACACTTTTTATAATATAGTGGGAAATTGTGGTGAAGTGTGTATAAATAAGTAGTGAGCAAAGAGGGGAAAAAAAAGTTTCAGAAACTGTGTATGGAGACAAAGAGGAGAGATTTGGTGTGGGGATGGAACTAATTAAGGCACTAGACAAGTTGTGTTGTAGTAAAGATGATCTAGTTTTATTTTGTTTCTTGACATACCATGAACTTAGACATGGCCTTGTTATTATGCATTAAATTGCAACTTTTATTTATTTTTATTCTTATCAAGGTCTATGAAAATATATCTATCCCACACTCTAAAAACTATATACTCAGTTTGATTTATCTTGCTGAAAAATGAAGAACACGTTATTAAAATTTTATCTAGATTAGAAAAATACTACATTTTGTCATTTTTAAAAAAATTTTGACCAGAAATTACGAAAACAAAATATTCAAGAGTGTAAAATGTCATATTTTTATAAATTTGTGGACATAAAGAGTATTAATAAAATGCCCCGAGTTAACTGAAAAATAGCGACTACTCCCTCCGTCCTATAATGATCTTCCCAGAGCACTATTCCAACTTCACGGGAATTTATATTTATTTGTGTTTTTTCATGGCCTATATGGTAAAATAAAATATTTTTGTCACCACTTGTTTTGTTGAACTTTTGATGTAGTTTTTAAATATGTATGTTTTATTTTTTATTTCTATACCAATATTTAAATAAAATAGATTGAAAAAACTTGGGATTTTTCTTCGTTTTGCGAACTGGAAAGATCATTATAGGACGGAGGGAGTATTTTTTAAAAAAGAATTTGAATTAAAAGAAAAGAAAACACAAAATTTGGGCTAAAGGAAGTATAGGGTGGCATATAGTCAATCCTTCCAAGATTAAATAGTCATATTTGAATAGATTTTGTTCATGTGATGTATTGGGACCCTACACTGGAGAAGAGAGAGACTTACTACACTACACTGTCTCTCTTGTGCCATTTCTATTTCTTTAAGCCGCAGATTTGGTTCATATCTGTTTTTTAATTGAATGTTGAATTTATTCATGAATAACACCCCTCAATAAATGCTGCATAATTTCCACTCACTCTGAGCCTGTTTGGGAATAGCTTTAGCGATTAGCGTTAGCGTTTTGGAAAAGCTATCTACGGGCAGCGTTTAGCGTTAGCGTTTTCAACGTAATCTGCACCGTTAAAATTTTATCCATAACGCTAACGCTAATCTCTAACGCTATTCCCAACCAGGCCTTCTGTCTCATCTTATATTACCCGTTTTGAATTTAGAGCATATTTAAAGAAGAAAAATGGTGCTGAATGAGAAGATAATGTGGAGAGGAGTGACTTATTTTAGAGGTAATTTAGATATTTTACCCTTAAAAGTTTATTATTATTACAAGAAACAAACAACTTATTTTGGGACGGACAAAAAAAAATAATTTAAAATGGGACAGAAGGAGTACATTTTTGGATGGAGTTGGGTTAAGTTCAATATCTTTTTTTTTAACATTTCACTATCTTCTGAAAGGATTATTTTTTATTTTTGCAACATCAACAAACTATGAATAAACTTTTATCCAGTAGTGAAAAAAGCTCACATCAGAGAGCCCTTTTGAGGCCGAATGCTTATTTTTCATACTGAGTAATTTTTTTAGAAAAATAAAGAGATGGGTAAAAAAAATCAAGTGTGTAATAATTTTTTTAAACCTAGTGTAATTTAAGAGTGTAAATGAGTGGATACTTGATTGCCACCAATTAGTGTATTGCACATTTGTTTTGACTTTGCAATGCTTCTTTGTCTCACATCTATTTCCTTTTTCTTCCTCCAATTACTCCACCTCTCTCTCTCTCCCTCTTCAATGTCCAAACCACCATTGTGTTGTCTCATAAATTTACCAAGGGTCTTATTAAGCATTGCCCATAATTTAACTCAGACGATTCCCCCCGCCCACCCTAACTATGGTTAAGGTAACGAGACGTAACTCAATGACAGACCACTTATGCATTGACATTAATAATCAACGTCGGACATAACTGCCCTTCTTCACTCTGAGAGTGGAGACTAATAATATCTGTACGTGTCTGTGAAAAGGAAAGTCTAAAAAGCTGGATGGAGACGACACAAAAGCCTAATCTACCACAAAAAAGGAGGTAATGAACCTCTTAACAAGTAAAAAATAGGTGCATTAGAAAAGATGTGGATATTCAATTTACAGGAGTACATTTTAAGCATCCCAAACAATGGCATGCATGAACTGAGTGCATAAAGTCCACATACAATCTCAAATTTATTTATTGCACCACGAAAATATGAGGGAAACTCTGCTCCAAATCTTGAATTATACTGGTGTTAAGCCAACCACACCTGTTTAAGACATTTATTATAAACGTAACCGTGGTAAAAAAAGATTAACTGAGCTAATGCTGCAAAGAATATAACCCATTTCTCTATAAAAGCACAAAATAATAATAATAATGATAATAATAATAGCAGAGATCTTTTGGCATTGAGTTTCAATGTCATAGTACGAAATCGGTTCAATTGGGGCATTTACGATGTTCCAATTAAAAAATTAATGGTAACTTTTCCTCCCATCCTACACCGTATTTTCTTCCCGACCTAAAAATAGGTAAGTTTTATGCGGAGTATTATTAATATACAGAGTACTATTAATGCATCTTTAATCCTTTCTTCCACAATTGTACATCTTGAAAGGTGTAAAATATATTCACTAAAAAGTTGTTTAAGATCATAATCAGCATATTATCAAAAATGCAATTTATTTTAAATGATTTAAATCATTTTCAAGGTATGAAAAGATCAGTTCCTACACAATCCCCACAAAGTCATAGTGTTTCTCGCTTTTCGAGTGAGAATTCTTATACTAGCAGGAACACACTTCCCAAATATGTCTTTCTTAGAAGAAAACTTATGTTTCAATCTATACATCACTTGAGAACACCAAAGGAGCATTGATTGGTTTTTTCTTTTCTAAATTTGTCTTCTTCTACACTAAAATATTAATAGTTGCACTCAAAAAAAATATTAATAGTTAATGCAAGGGCATTATAATATATTTCTTTCGATTTATTGTTCAAGAACTTTGAAATTTTTATTGTCTTCTGAATATGAGTGCACAAACCTTAAAAGACAGACATTTCAAAACAAGGAAATACGTATATGTATTACGCCAATAAATTATGGATATGATTTCCTTACCACAAGCCAACCGTCCACCTGCATTCCCAGTAGTGAGACTAAGCTCATGGCCACCTGCAAATTGAGAAAAAGAGTTTAACGTTGTAAACAGTCTAGGTCAAGCTCCAACTAAAGTTTTTAACTACTCTGTATGGCTTGCCTAAGAGCCCGTTTGGGAGGCGGGCCTAATTTTTGGCTATCAGTCTTATCAACCCGGTTCCTAGAAAAAACAGAACTAACTTTGTTTTGGCATATAATGAAAATAGGCAATGCAATAATTACTCACTGGCAAAAAGGATGAAATTGTTACTTCTGAGTTCTGGCTTTCGGGAAAATTATTTTCTTCGTTTTGATTGAATATAGATTTTAATTTTGTAGATAATAAATTAATAATACAGATTCACTCATTTTAGCCACAACTTCAGCAACTTCTACCATTTCACAGATATGTTAGGCCTTACCAAACCAGCTCCCGGATTACATAGAAATATAGGATTTTGTCATTAACTAAGATTAGCTGGTTACATTTCCTGATCACAATAACAACTTTTAAACAGCCAAAATAATCAGAGAAACTAATCCAGATGCTGAAACATACCCTTTCCAAGGTCATCCTCAAGTTCATGAACCACTAAAGCTCTTCCGACCACCGAGTTTGGGCCACTTAAAGGTATCTGTGCCATCAATAAAGAAGGGCTTAGCATATACTCCGATATCTAAAACAATACCCAAAAGCTTGCTAAAGTATTCACACATCAGAAATTTACCCACTTTATAGATTGCCTTACTAACACCATTGCAGAGATTTTTAGGTTGACACTCCTGTAGAAGTCTATGGCATTGTTGTTAAAATTAGATTTGTTGTATACCAAATTTTATTCGAGTTGTATCCTTGTTGTTTGGTGGACTTTTGATGTAGGGGTATGTGGCGGTTTTTTATTGTTTTGGTTGTTAGGCTAAGACAGACTTGTGTTTTGTCTTGGCCCCGCACTTTTTATTCGGGGATGCCCGACCTAGTCCTGTATATACAGCTATACGCACTTGGGTTACTTACTAATATATTTACAGGTTACCCAAAAAAAATATTTTTAGGTTGAGACACATACTCAGGCTCTAATAGATTGTAGAACTTAATTTAAATCAAACTTAAATCATGAATATTAAACAATTGTGTGACAATGTAACTGATAAGATTGAGAGTAAGTACCTGATGATCAACTATTGTTGCTTCAGCCACACCTGGGCAGGAGCAAGCAAAATCAAAGGGGCCAAAACTACTCAGCACTGAATCAACATTAAGAAGAATTTCATAGTGAAGAGGTTGAAAAGACAACCAATACCTTCGGCATTGGCCAATATGTTTCCCAGGTCACCCGCATGACGGACTTCATCCTCTGGAGCTCCATGTGTCACAATATTGGGATTAAAATGTGCTCCTATTTGTGAAACACAAACAGTTCCACTTAATACCAAACAACATCAGGATAAGAGGCTTAAAAATGAATTGAGGTGTGTATATATCATAAGCAATTTAAACCAACATTTCTTATCAAACCTGTAGAAATGCACCCGTTCGTCGTATCACCATATTCATGCTACGATACAACCCAAGATGACAAAAGAGTGAGGCACATTAATTTTTTAACCCTATGTCAATGCACTAGAAGAAAATAAAATTAACATGCCAGCTAAGTTGTGTATACTTACAAGGTGAAATCCATGACGTCCAGGAGAAAGCCCGGTTACACGAACGTTCACAGTGGTTGGGCCTATTATTACGATTTATAACAGGAGACAATCGATTAGTTTTAAGCATTATTTGGGATTATAAAAACCTCTGAAACAGCCTCCCTCCCTTTAGAGGCAAGGGTAAGGATTCTAAGGACCCTAACTAGGCCCCACTTGGGGATCTTTACTGGGTTGTGGTTGGGATTAGAAAAACATGGAAAATGTAGCCGGGTCTTCATTCTTCAAGGTGTGATCACAATTGTTCAGAATGTCTTAAATGCTTATAATATGATCACATCAAGGGATCAAACCAAGTTGATGACTAAGTATATGGTCCTTAATTACTCCATGTTTCTAAATGGTTCATAGTCAAAGCTATATACCCTCATAATCATATTTCTTTCT